GTACAAATAAAGGGAGCTAGCAAATGTGCAAAATGCCCACTCGAAAGCCAACGGCGCATGAGTCCTCCATCGCTAAAAGCCTCCAAAGTGGAATTAGGCTTGTCTAGGGGGATGGAAGAAGATCTATACATGCGCAGACCCTGTAAATTGTTGTGCAGGCTAAATGACATTCAAATTACCCCAACGATCACAAATGAATGTGGAATGCGCGGCACATTTCCGAAAAGCGAAGAGAACTTTTTCCTATCTTTTCCTGGCCGTGCGGCTTCGAATAGCACCCTCATTGCGATGTAGCTCGTTTTCAGACGAGGCCGATAAAGTCTATTTCTAAGGTGTTCCCCTTCGTCCTACTTGACGAGATTAGACTAGCCGGGCTAATGCCGTTTGGACTCCAGCAACTTCGGCACCGAGCTCATTTTTAAATTACCTAAGTCGCCAAACCCGCTGAAAATATGTACACAAGGGTTATTTACCATCCTGATTACAATTATGACACTCATTCTTGGCGCTGGCGCCAAGGGATGACACTACGATTACCTCTTGGGCTCAGCCTTAGCGCAGGTAATCGTAGTGTCATCCATTAGCGCCAGCGGCAAGAGTGAATGTCATATTCGTAATCAGGATGTTAAACTACCCCTACATACAAGTTTTTAGCGGATTTGGTAACTTAGGCAATTTAAAAATGAGCTCGGTGCCGAAGTTGCTGGAGTCCAAACGGCATTAGCCGATAGCCGCTTCGGCAGGATTAACCACGGCGGAATGTCGAGCGAAGGTGGAGCCATTGTCCAGGAATGTTCGGAAAAAGGTTCCCTCTAATCGCTACAAACATTGACGTCACAAAGTGACCATTGTGCCGCCTACACATCACCACGATATTTACAAGATATTTTCTGATGAAGACATTAATCTGTATGATTTTTTATCCATCACGTATATACTGCTGGAGTTATAATTGTTCAAACAAAGTCGAAAATCTCATCAATACCTAAGTGTTCCCGAAGGTATGAAATCCATAGTTTTGTTATTTTTCGTTATCTCGTATAGTTCATTACATTACACGGCCAGTGCTACTTAAAATTTATAATAATTGTTTTATATCTTTATTCTTTGGTTATAATCGGGGTT